ATTGAACTTGGGACCTCTGGAAGAGCAGCAAGTGCTCTTAACCTCTGAGCCATCTCTCCAGCCCAAACTTAAAGAATGTATTTAGCCATTGAGGCTGCAGGGGACCCCAGCTTTGAGGAACTGAAGTACCTTCCCTATGCCCAGGGCATTTTTAATTCTTCTCTATATTTACACATTAGTTAGTTACTATATACTCAGAACAACTTGAATGAGGCTCCCAAAAAGACAATGCCATTCAATGAAGACTGGATTCATAGGTACCACAGTTTTCCAGATTTCCTGAACCAAGTTTTGGAGTTTTATTTATTTTTTTGGTTTATTTTATTTGGGGGGGCAGGGTTTCTCTGTATTGCTTTGGAGGAGCTCGCTTCGTTAAAGGCTGGCCTTGAATTCACAGAGATCTACCTGACTCTGCCTCCAGAATGCTGGGATTAAAGGCATGCACCACCAACTCCCAGCTCTGAACCAAGTTTTGCATAGGCCTCTGTCTTCTTGAGAAATTCCCAAACAAAGTTCACATAGGGGGACAAAAGGTATGCTGTCAGTCAAAGAGTGGATTAGGCTAGGTGCTAGCAGTCCAGAGCTAGGCCAGGTGCCATTGGGCTGGTGGTGAGGGCTACTTGGTATCACTGAAGCGCCAGGCCAGTAGGATAGTGCTACAATGTAGCACTTCCTAGAAGAGAATGACAGCTGACTTCCTAGTGTGCTGGCTCTTAAATCTTTCTGGCCCCTCATCTAGGATGTCCCTGAGCCATAGATGTAAGAGCTGTGATGGAGATGCATCCATTGGGCTGGGTTCCCACCAGCTGCTGATTTTTTTTGTATTTTTGTTTTTTGTTTTCGAGACAGGGTTTCTCTGTATTGTTTTGGAGGTTGTCCTGGCACTTGCTCTGCCTGCCTCTGCCTCCCAAGTGCTGGGATCAAAGGTGTGTGCCACCACCGCCCAGCCATCTGCTGATCTTTGTGTTGTGTTCTGTTGTGGTTTCCTGAGATACTCTCCATTTTCTGTAAAGGATTTGATGCGGTGATGCTGCACTTAGCCAACACAAACAACAGCTCAAGAATCAGGAGCAATCTGTAGGCCACTTGTCTGGATCAAGGCCTGTGGACAAAGAGATTAGTGGTGGGGTGTAATTTTGTTTTGAGACAGGGTCTCAATGTAACCTTACCTGTCCCAGAACTATGTAGATTGTTGAGGAATAAAATATTTGTTTTACTAAGTAAGTAAAGATGTGTTACAGTTGTTTGTTGCAGAATAATTCTTTAACTATTAAAGATGTGTTACTGTTTTATATTGCCTGCCTAAGGCACCCGATTGGTCTAATAAAAAGCTGAATAGCCAATAGCTAGGCAGCGGAGGGGAGGACAGAGAAAAAAGGGGAGGCAGACAGACAGACAGGGAGCAGGTAAGCAGGATGGGCAGTGCATGGATGAGGAACATGAGCCTCAGGGCAGCACATAGATGAACAGAAATGAGTTAAAGTTAATTTAAAATTTAAGTTAAAGAAAAACTAGCTAGAGACAAACCTAAGCAAAGGCAGAGCCTTCATAATTGATGATGGGTCTCTGTCATGATTTGAGGGCTGGTGGTCCAGGAAGGCCTGCTGCAGTAGATCAGATTGACCTGGAACTCACAGAGATCTACCTGCTTCTACCTTCTAGGTGTTGGAGGCCTGGCCCAGTTTAATTATTCTTACCACTTATTTACTTATTATTTATTTTTGTTTGTGTAGTACCAGGAATTAAACCCAGGGTCTCATATATGCTAAGTGACTCCTCTACCACTGAGCTATATCCCTTACCCAGGTCTTGTTTTTGCTTGCCTACATTTTCTTTCTATAGCAAAAGTACCTACATCTTAAAGAGAGAATACAGGATGGGGGCGGTGGTGGCACACGAGTTTAATCCCAGCACTCGGGAGGCGGATCTCTGTGAGTTCAAGACCAGCCTGGTCTACAAGAGCTAGTTCCAGGACAGCCTCCAAAGCCACAGAGAAACCCTGCCTCAAAAAACAAAAAACAAACAAAAAAGAATACAGGATGGGTATAGTAATACATGTCTACAACCCCAGCTCTGCAAAAGCTAAGGCAAATTATCAGTTCTAGGCCAGCCTGGACAACATAGTGAGCTCCACATGTCTCAAAATTCCTAAAAGTAAAACAGGAAGGTGGTTCAGTGGGTAAAAGGGATTGTCATGTAAGAATGGGGACCTAAAGTTAAAGTCTCAGAATCTACAAGCAAGTTGATTAATGCCTCTGTAATCACAGTACTCCTGCCTGGGGGATGGGAGGTGGAGACAGAATCCCTGCAAGTTTAGAGCCCAGCTAGTCTGGTTTATACGGTGAGAAAATAATAGAGACCCTGTCTTTAGCAAGCTGGGAGGCCAGCAGTGGGGGTGCATACCTTCAATTCCAGCACCCAGGAGGCCAAAGCAGGTGGGTCTCTGTGAGTTCCAGGACTTCCAGGGTTACATCACAAGACCCTGGCTCAAACAGAAGCTAGATAAATTCAAGGGTCAGCACCTGAGGGTAGTGTCCTCGGACCTACGCAAACACTGTGGCACATCAGTGAACACACATCCAACACATAAAACAGTTCAAAAGGAAACTAAAATTTAGGGTTGCTGATATAGCATTATAATAAATGAAGTGCAAGCCAGGCCCAGGGTTCAAGTTTGAGAAACTTCAAGAAAAAGAACAAAGAAGGTTGCCAGGCATTGGTGGCACATACCTTTAATCCCAGCACTCAGAAGGCAAAGGCAGGTGGAAATCTGTGAGTTTGAGGCCAGCCTGGGCTACAAAGCTACACAGAGAAACCCTGTCGCAAAAAAAAAAAAAAAAAAAAGACAAGGTTCATTTGTTTTTCTAGGCAATTTGTATAATTGAATCCCACTGTGTGAGTCCCACTATGTGAATCCCACCATGTGCATTTCCAATCTCAATAAATATCTACCTAATCTTTCACAGGTGCATAATGAGGCTAACCCTTTGAATCAGGAGTCTGGGGAGCAGAGGGGGTTAGAACTCAGATGAAAAAGTGCCTGGAGTGTCTGAGGCCCTGGGTCAGTCCCCAGAAGAAACAAATCCTCAGCCCTCAGCTATAGCACGCAAGCCTTAGGCTCCAAGGGATTGTAACACTTCAGTAGCACCCCACTTCCTGGCTCCTCAGACCGGCTGAGGCCTGTGTGTAAGCGATTGGCCAGGCTCCTGGCTCCAGGAATGCTGCAGTGCCTTTAATAGCGTCTGAACAGTCCTTCTATGGGCAACAGGCAGTTGCCTGGGTACCTGCATGTTTTCGTCCTTAGAATCTTGTGTTTACCGTGCAGACCCTGAAATTTAGGCCAGATGCATTCTCAGGAAAAGGAGGTGAGGTTCCTGAGTGGAAGAGAAAGCCTGAAATTCAGGTTTCAGAAATGGAGTGAAGCAAAATGTCTCCTGCCAAAGCGATGTCAAAGGAGCAGCTCAGGGATGAGCGGACTGACTCCAGGGTGCTTGGCCTCCCCAAGCCTGAGATGTTTTCAGAAAGGACGTGGCGACAGTTAATCAGCAAACACCGATGTTTCTTTCTCCACCCTCCCCTGAAACTAAGCAAAGCAAAACTCACATATGTCTTCTAAGCGTAGGCTCCCTTTCCTAGAGATGCGTTTACAGACACACACACACAGCCCCCATCGCATCGCCTCTCAGAGAACCGTGACTGCTGAATGGCTCCATCCGCAGCTGTTTGAGGCGCTCCCCCGACGGACAGTGAGCCCTTGGGACACCCGGAGCGCTGGGAGCCTGGGCCTTCCTTCCCCAGCAGGGCCTGCTCCTACCCCGTGGATAGCCTGAAGGAACCTGACTGGGAAAGTAAAACTACTACTTCTATGCTGACTAAACTTGACTGCTGATGCGCTTTGAACTCAGGCGTGATCACAGTGGCGCGGGTTTCAAATAAACGAGCCAAAAATAAACAAAAAAAAAAAAAACCGAAACACTTACACTTGTTCATGCTTAGGTTCATACTTTTGAAATCTGACGAAGTTAAGTAGCTACCCCCGGGGCCAATAGGAACTAAAACAAGGTCATCACACCCAGATGTCCTGAGGTTCCCAGGGGCGCAATAGGAAATCTGGAACCAAAGGAGCTCGAGCGCCGAGCTCGCCTCTCCGGGCCTCGCTGTGCAAACCGCTGGGCTGGAGAGTGGTCGGCGCACCTAGGAGCTCACCCTTGTCACCCGCCATTCCCAGCCGAGCGTCAGCGGAGGCGGTTGGAAGCCCCGGAAGGGCGGAAAGGGAGCGGGCGAAGGCGGTGGAGACTCCAGCGGCCACACCGGGGACAAAGGGTTAAGTGGGCGTGGCCCGGGCCGCTCCGCCCCTGCAGGCCCCGCCCACGGAGGCCGCGGCTGGCGTGCGTATTTATAGAGGCGGTGCCCGGCGCGCCGGGGCGGCCCCGCCGCCCGCGGCCCG